GTCACAGTCAGTTGTTGTATACACTGTGACATGATTAAACTATTACATACCATTTGTGAATCGACCTTTATGTTGTTAAATACAACAACCGATTTCTTCTCAACGATATTTTTTAATTGTTTGGACGCCTGACTGATGACAACGTATGTGTTTGTATATCAAGTACTGTTTATAACAATCAACAACAACTGGCCAATGAAAATTTTATAGAATATTGTGTTTTAAATAAAAAATGTTATGCAATATTGGTTAATGAAGAGTTAGAAAACAGACTGTAACCAAATGACTGACAGGTTGACTGAGAAACTATGGATGTAATTGAGACTGACCTATGACTGGATTGTAACAGAACTTTTACTGGACTGATATGCATGAATAGACTTTTTATAGTACAAATAGTATACAATTTCTCTCAATGGGTCAACATAAAAATATTAACTGCTTTTACTTAGAAAGTACGCAAACATTTATGCGATAACGTACATTTTCTAATATTATCCAAACAAGGCAATATAAATTTTAAACCTTATATTTAACAATCATATTAATAATGACTTTTCATTTCATCAATATAAAAGTCTTTACCACCAGTGTTGGATAGCTTTTTCATAATAGACAAGGAAAGGTCTATGAATAATGGCAAATACGGATTTATGTTTGATAAATTTTATAATGACCAAGATCATGAGTATTAATGCAATCTTCATAATGTTGGTTGTAAGGCAGTTTCCTCCAAAACAGAGGGTGATAAGGGTAAATAAGTAAAAGACTAAAGTTTCTAACATTTGTATTTTTCAGTGTTCTATATCCTATCACACAGGTTTGTCTATTTACAATTATTGATCCTAGGTCCAAAGTCTGTGCCTCCAGGCTCGTATTCAGGGTTTAGCAGAGGTTAGATCAGTTCTAGCATACGTCCTTATAGCTTGGTAGTCTATGATATTCATGGCTCAACACACTCATGCAGGCACAGCACATCATAATAGTGGTATAAAATGAGTGAAAATAGTGTGAAATTTATGTGATGAAATACACACAAATTCACATCACAGTCACAGTCAGAACTCGTAAAAATACTATAGTGTAAAATTTGTATGACAAAGTATGCATAAATTCACATCACAGTCAATAGTCCAAACTTTATGTATTGTCATCTTATGGTCTTAAGAGCCCTTTTCGGGACACCAGGTCATAGTTAGCAAAACCAAGACGTTTGACAATCCTTTAATAGATAAACTGGAAGCAAGTTTTAATACGTTTCACCCAGCATATTTATATCGCACTTTGATGATTTATTCACTAATCTAAGTGTGTTAAATATTAAATGATCTCAAAGAATTTTACCATAGAGTAAGCACACATAGTGAAATCTACCATAAAATAAGATAAATACATTTAGAACCATTATTACATTCATGTTACCGGGCATGAACTCACCAACTCATATTAAAATGAGGTTCATATTTTAACAGTAGGATAGGAAAACTGGTAACTACAATATTCAGTAATTGGTTCTGGTTATTTGTAACTATTGTTTCTATATTGGATGAATCACTGCAATATACTAGTTCAACCTGACTGACCCCTCTCTATGAATTGCCTGATGACCATGTTACCTCTGATGATCACTCTTGCATACTTGATATTTCTACCATAGAACTTTCACATTCTGATTCATCATTAGGTCTCTATGGAAATACCCACCTCTATATTTACACCCTCAGGTATATAGCACAATATCAACTTCCTTTGTTATTGAATTCTGTAATTTAGCATGGTCTCATTGCTTTTACATATATGAAATACAGAAATTATGTTCATACAATAATATAGATCTATAGTTTCCAGTTAATAATATAAATGTTGTATCTCTATGTTTCAAATGTTATGCAATTAATAATTTAATCATCTGTTAGTTCAAAAATGTGATTCAAATCAATGTAAATAAACTAGTGACAAAATAAGGCTCATTTTTCAACTTACATTTATTTAACCATTTATTTCAATATATAAACTTACAATACATAACAGTAAAATAAACAACAAATGGCTTATTTTGTAATTTATATGTTTTTGAAAATGAGTAAAGAACAAAAGAGCTTGTAAGGTACAATACCAATGAGGGATGACAATGCATTATGTTGTATTGGTTTTCCAGGTTATTGTTTAACAAAAAACTCCTTCTCACATCGATTGCTCAACAATTAAAATCTTTATCCACCACTATCATGGTCTTCATTTTATCACTTTAACTAAATCGATATGTCTCGATGTAAATGGCATCCCCACTATGATTAATTCCTGTAAACACAATGCATATCTATAAACTTATCCAAAACAATCCCAACAATTATAGCAACTTTCATTGCTCACTAAAATACGATTGTTTATAGCTACCCTTCACAATCACTTTCTCTTCTTTGCATAAAGTAGTTTTTCATCTTTATTTTGTCTTTTCATCGAAGAGTACATTCACTACAAGAGTCTTATGTATACAAACAATTTATATACAATATTCCGAGTAAAGGTTGTTCCAGCCTGGAAGTATGAAACACGGTCGGGGCCTTTAGAGTTTGCATTTTCATCTATTTTTTATTGCAGTCTGAGGATCTGGCTGGTTATCTCATCATGATTGTAGAAAGTCAATGCTCCCTACTTCTACTTTGACCACCTAAACTACCAACTACAATTAGCAAGATGTGGGATTGTGTGTTGTGCCATGCTAATTTACCAAACACATATTAATCAGCACAAAGTACAATAACACATAATAGTTCAATGGATCTATGCTGATATTGGTGATAGGGGTTGAGCTAATCACAACCCAAACTTCTGATCAAAGAGGCATCACATCCGACATTAACTTTAAGTCCTAAACTGAAGATTACAATTTGCTTATGTTCAGAGGCAAAGTGGATACCATCTAGCATCTTAGGAATGAGCTGGTCACAACTAAAAAGAAAACCCAGTCTTTGCACCACACATAAACTGTACACAATTCACCACTTGGGACAAGAAGCAAGCCTGCAATGATACTGTGGAGCAGGACTGAGTTTAAATAATGATTCCAAGTTCTCACATAAGGTAAAATATAATTTCGGCACGAAATATTTGCCTGATTCCTCGGTAATACATGTTTCAAGACGCTAAAATAGTTGAGTAAAAAACATATTTTTTCAATTTTTTACAAATATTTAATCCAAACTAGAAAAAATCCAATATTTTACCAGAGGTCCCAACACTATGTGTTTCTTGCCATTTAAGGTGATTCCAGCAACACATTATATTTATAAATATTTCAAACCAACTGGTACAAATCTCACATGATACAGACATTAATATGGATTGAAAATATTTTTGGAGTTGGACATTTATATAGAAATGTATAAATAAGCACGATTTTTTAAAAAGTGGCTTAAAATCTCCCCATGTTATTCTCATAGGTAAAACACCAAAAACACCTCTTTTTCCTATTCTATCTATTTGCTTGAGATACAGTAAATAAACATATTTAGGCACACTACATTGATTTCAACTTTTGATATAAAACAATAATACAGGGTAAAAATTTAAAAATCTAAAACTTATATGAATACCATTTGGTAAATAAATTAAATGGTTCCATTTGTATGACAATGTATTATAACATAATATCAGTGTTGGTAATGGTTACAAACTCCATGCATTACTGGTGTGACTTTATCGTTTTAAAATGCTTATTTCTCAAAAACTGCTTGAGATACGACAAATGGTTAAATTTAGGTACACTATGTTAGTTCCAACTTTTAAACAACAAAAAACAATAATACAACATAAAAATCAAATACTATTTTAACATTATTTTAAATGAGTACAAATAAATCAAACAGTTATCATGAAAATGTTATAAGTCTATACTTAATTCCATTATTTTAAAAGTCCATTATTAAATATTCTAAATTTGTGATTTAATCACCAGACATCCCTATAACTCATAAGAATTATATTATTTTATATGAGTACAAATAAATCAAACCATTTTCATTTGTATGCCAATGCATTGTAATATAATAATAGCATTAGTAAATAAAGGTCTGATTTATTGTTTAAAAATACTTATATCTAAAAAAAAGGCTTGATATACGACAAAACAGCTAAAATTCCAGCAACCAAAATAGCCTTCAACATAATAATACAGCATAAAAAGTTAAACAATTTAAAACCATTTACCAGTTTCTTTTGTATGTAAATGTGCTATAATATAATTTCAACAATAGCAATAGTTTCAAACTCTAGGTATTACCAGCACGGCACTGTCGGGGGCATGACGATGTTCAAAGTGATGCGCCTTCTATCACTTACATGTTTGTCTAGCTTCTAAAAAAAATATTTATAGCATAAAATTTATATATTAAAATTCTACATAAACTACTGTTTAATACAATATAAATATAATTTAATTTATGCCACTGTATAATTATTAATTAAGGAAAATATAAAAAGGTTACTCAAAGCAAACATGAAAAAGTAAGTAAGCGAGGATTTTTTTTATTTTTCGGTCAGAGAAAAACTTTCAGTGGAAGAAGTATAGATGATTAGATGTTCCTCAATTTTTGTTTCTAACATTTTTTCATAAGACTTTTAGTTTGTCATCGCTGGGGATCAGAAGTAACCTATGGGTCGGGAGCGCGTCCGAGTTCACGTGCCGAGAGCTGGGTTTTAAAAAAAGTGGTCAAAAAAAGCTCTTCATTTCCAGGCTTGTTTTTTCAGTATTAATAACATTTTTTAACCAAAAAATGCCCCCATATAGCCTCTAAAACGCCAAAAATAGGGTAAAACCATCATATTTTACCTATTTTGGGTGTTTTTTCGCCAAAAAAATTCAAAAGTCCTAGGTCCAAAAACGCCGAAAGTGGGGTCATATTCTGGTATTATATCTACTCAAACAAAATACATTTTTTTTACTTAATCACATCTGCAGCTACACCTTTACAGTATAAGAGCAATGTCTATTGTTCCAGATACCATTAGTGCTGGTGAGTCTTGCTGCATTGGCAGTAGCAGAGCCCCCCGTTCCCCAGGGTCTGTCTGCCCAATATGGGGTACCAGGAAGGTTTGGAGGCGGTTCCGGACAAGGAGGATACCCATCCGGCGGCCCGGGATCCGTTGGAGGCCAGGGAGGATACCCATCCGGCGGCCCGGGATCCGTTGGAGGCCAAGGAGGATACCCATCTGGTGGTCCGGGGTCCGTTGGAGGCCAAGGAGGATACCAATCCGGCGGTCCAGGCTCCGTTGGAGGCCAAGGAGGATACCCATCCGGCGGTCCGGGCTCCGTTGGAGGCCAAGGAGGATTTCAAGGAGGTCTCGGTGGCTTCGGCAGTGGTGGAGGCTTTGGAAATGGAGGGGAAGGAAATGAAGTGAGTTTTGTCATTCTCACTTTAAATGAAATAATTTATATTAAATTCGTTAACGCATTTCCTACCAGGGGTTTTCCTGGGTTCAGGCTTAATGTACCCCCAAATCCATTTGCAGATATCTAATGATTATTTCTTAAAATCAATGGGTTACTAAGTAAAGTTTCAATAACAATAAGCAAGTGATAATAGGTCTACTTATAAAACCTGTAGTAAATTGAACATTTTCTCTAGGAGCCAGCTAACTACGAATTCAACTACGACGTCGACGCTCCAGAGTACAACGTCAAGTTCGGTCACCAGGAGTCGAGACAGGGTGACGTAGCTCAGGGCAAATACTACGTGCTGCTACCTGACGGTCGTACCCAGGTAAAACATCTACTGATAATCTGTGATTAACATTGTCCTGTGGAATTAGCAGTGTGGGCTAGTGTTAGGCTATTTAAAATAAAAGTTAATTGTAGTAAAAAATAGTATTTTGTTTGGCTACTTAATATAGCATGCAGATCTATCAAGCAAAATAAATTAAATTAATTTCTGGCTAAATGACTAGCGTAAAGGTCACAGCCTCGGATTTTGAAGCAAGAGCAATGGGATTAATTCCCGATATAACACAAAAACGGGTTGGTCCGCTTTCCCCTGAAAACGTAAGTGATCTTACTTTATTCAAAATTCCACGGAAGAATTTGATTAAACAAAAAAGAAGAGTCTTAGTCTTACCTTTGTCAGGGTAAGATACCATTAAACCACTCTAAACTCACCAAGGACAGCTATAGTAGCAGTGTCTTCTTTTCTCTTTCTTTGACAACAGAGCATCATTCACGAACTTGAATTAGAACCACTCACACGATACAAGAGTGGTAGGTCCCTTTCCACAAAAGGTCGTAAGGGTTCTGGTTTCTGTTCACTTTCCCTAATGAGCACTTGTATGTCCTTATTCAAAAAATCCAGTGGCTAAGAAAATTTTCTTGGCAAAGAATTACTTCACTTTTATAGAGATATTTTAACCTTTCATCGTTTCTCAGGTGGTAGACTACATTGCTGACCAGGATGGATTCAGGCCCAAGATTAGCTACGAAGAGGGTTATGGAAGTGGAGGACCTGGTGGTGCAGGATCTCTTGGAGGTGCTGGTGGATACCCTAGTGGTGGCCCAGGTTCTCTTGGAGGTGCAGGTGGATACTCAAGTGGTGGCCCAGGATCTCTCGGAGGTGCAGGATCTCTTGGAGGTGCTGGCGGATACTCAAGTGGTGGCCCAGGATCTCTTGGAGGTGCTGGCGGATACTCAAGTGGTGGCCCAGGATCTCTTGGAGGTGCGGGTGGATACCCAAGTGGTGGTCCAGGATCTCTTGGAGGAGCTGGAGGATACTCAAGTGGTGGTCCAGGATCTCTTGGAGGTGCGGGTGGATACCCAAGTGGTGGCCCAGGATCTCTTGGAGGCGCTGGTGGATACTCAAGTGGTGGTCCAGGATCTCTTGGAGGCGCTGGTGGATACCCAAGTGGTGGTCCAGGATCTCTTGGAGGTGCGGGCGGATACTCAAGTGGTGGCCCAGGATCTCTTGGAGGTGCAGGAGGTTACAGAAGATAGTTGCAGATTTCAACGTAGTAAAACTTTTAATTTGTATTTAAAATGTATTTATTGTATATGTGATTTTATTTTATTTAATAAATTATTTGCATGGCTTAAGTTATCTAATGTGAATTTTCCAATTACTGTACTTCATAAACATTACTAAACCTCTAAACACTAAAAATAACTCGTTTCCACTCGCTGAATCAACTGATTTCACTCAACTAATCAACTGATTGCACAGATGGGTAATGCATCTATGAAAGTGATTTATTGATTCCAGTCACTAAACTTCACAATACACTATCACCTTTTTACGGATTCAACTATTGTAGTGGAGTGAGTGCCAAACTAAACTATTGGAGTGGACTGAGAGTCAAGTGAAGGTAAAATTCACAGAAAAAGCAAACATTACCTGAATAACATTATATTTACAGCTAAAAATTGTTTCTGTGTGTTATGATAAGCTAATTATGGTGGTGATAAAACTCATTGCCGCTCTCAATATGAATGGTCACACTCAGCTAAAGCTTCCTACAGTCATCAATGGCACACAAATATCCATACCATTACTTCTCTAATCAATTTTAGTGTTTCGCCAGTTTAATTTTGGTGGAAAAATTGTGAAATCATAATTAGCAGTAAAAATGTGAATACTAAAAGCAAAATCCTTTTCTATACAAACACATAACATAATTTACGAGATCCCATTTTGTTAATTCTATTGTACAAGTTCTACATGACTACTACTTATGAAAACCAGAACTTTGGAACTAAGTTACTCTCTGTTCATAGATTTGTTTCTTGTATCATGGTAAACATGTTTTCTAATGTAATCATAGTCAGAAATTGCGTATAGTAGTTATTTGTACAATAGGTGGCCCCGTGGTTGAAACCCCGACCAAAAATGTATTGTGCAAACTTCTCTAATTTCACCCCACGCTGTAGATATACCATGCGATTGGAATTTCTTCCATTTATTTAGATTTTCTTATTATATTTCCTTGTTACATCGTCATCAGCATGGAAACCCATAAGGTCCATGTTCGTTTTTATTTTTATTTTAAATTCATTTTTTGTGCTTTTGTTAGCTTATTTAAATTTATAAAAGGATTCTGCACATCTACAGGTAAATAACTTTCCAAAAGATTTTTCCTACAATGCACACGAGCTGAGAAAAAGGTATTTCCTATTGATATATAGGATGCTTCTGTCAGAATTGTCGTAAATTCGAGCTACTCACGTGAAACTTGGCTACTTAATATGTTAAAGATCATGTATGGTGAATCCTTGAAAATTCAAAACTTAATATCTAAATTCGGTTGAATCTGACATTAATATCCCTTCATAAATATTTGAACTCTCAATATAAATACACAAATATCCTTTATAAAGGCTACCGGAATTTATTGAGAAAGGGGATTTTAAAGAACCAATTTTTACTTTTAATACTACGCTAACTCTTTCTTTTAAAATAATCATCAATTCTAATTGTTCCATAATTAATTTATATTTTATTAATGTTTGATAAACTCTTTTTATCTCCCCCAAATTTACTTGTTGATCATCTAACAGATGGTTGTTAATCATTGCTGTATCGTTGTTGCTCTTTCAGTCAGATATTTGAAGTTTTTCCAAAATCCACAGTCCCATTTACATTTATTGAGCGAAGCGAGTGGAGCAGGCAAATTTCTTATACTAAATTCCTTCTTTTGATTTACAAACACTCCACCTGAATTTTTGACGTTGACTTACATTGTAAATGTGTTGCAACAATAAATGATTTGACTTTGACTTTGAATTGAGGTCGTCTCCAAGAAATACAAAGAAATAAATCATTTTCAAAAATAAATCACAACGCACCCTGGATTTACAAGTGAGTTTAAATAATAATGTTTTACCAACTAGGTAAAATAACGTTTCCCGATGATAACAGTTTCTCACACCGCTTAATTAGGTGTTAATAATTAAATAGAGTGTGATCCTTCTGAAAATTTAGTTTTTTTATTTTTTTTATTGTGCAGTATTTACGTATTCCTTTGACTGCTCTCCCAAATCGCTTGCTATCAATATAGCACCCTTGATTTGTTTAGGAAGCACTAGAGCACTAGTATTCCTTAGCAACGAGGTAGATGAAAACATATTAGTGTATTCAGTGTTCCTCAAGATTTAGTAATCAAAAGCCTTCTTAAAACGAACACTCCTGAAATTATCTTTTTTTAAACTTATCATAAAATGTTAAGTGGCTATCCATGATAAGACCGAGACATTCTACAGAGTTGCAAGATGTGATCTTCTGGTAAGCAAGAAGAACAATCAAGGGAGCTGCTTTTCGACTTAGTAATTTGAAAATTCATGTTCGATTTGTTTTACTGTTCAAAATTAGTTATTTATAGTAAGAAATTTAAAAATGATTAGAAAAATCAAAAGTCCACCATTCCAAAACAGTTATACATCTATAAAATCAAATAAAATCTAAAATTCCTTTATTGTCATTATCAGGAACACACAGAGTGAAGTTTTGTCAGCGACATTGAAGATCTAAGTTACTTGAGTGTTTACAGTTTATAGTCATGTCTCTACTAGTATATATGCCATCTTGATAACTAGTCTATCATGAGACAATATTGAAAAGATTGTGGTTATCACTAAACATGAAACAAAAACACACTTCGTGTTCGTGTTTTAAACTAAAAATACACAGTCATGGTGGAACTGAGAGAGATGGTGTGGGCAGCTTTTTCTTGACCATAAATCAGCTTTTTTATTGTCAGGACTGTGAATTGAAAATAATATTTTAAGGAGAGCTGGTTCACGTTTGAAACCATCAAAGTTCCTTATAGAACAAATCAATGGTAAATAACGTGTACATTCAAATTTCACAATTTCCTTTTCTCTCGTTTATTTACAAAGTGCATAAAATACATTGATGAATTGAGCAGCACACAAAACTATTTACATTTCAAACAATCCTTCTCTATCTGTACCCCCCTTGTGCCCCCTCAACCCCCTGTCCCATGTACGTGATCTTGGGGTGGTAGCCGTCTTCGTCCGCGGTGTATTGTACGTGCTGGGTTCTGCCGTCTGGAAGCAGCACGTAGTATTCTCCTTGGACCGCATCCTCACTTCGCGACTCCTGATGACCAAATCTCACTCCCGACTGTTGGTCTTCCACGTCGTACTTGAACTCGTAGTTGGCGGAATCCTGGAACATCAGGTTACATGTATTCTTCACCAACAGCACCTTATACTTTTCACCTTATATTTTTCGTTAAATTTCCACGATACATTCTATCATTCTATTACGTCAAATGAGAAACCGCCGACATCTAATTGAAAGGTCCTAAGGTTTACTGTTAACTAAAACCTACAAGCAATGTGTATACCATAAAGTATAGTTTAGGAACCTCTCTCCTATACAAAAAGGAATATCCAATAAATGAAAGCTAACTTTATTAGTGAGACAGTTAAATGTTAGTCTCCAATTCCTTGGTATCAACAACTAATCTACGGATATGGTTACATGTGGTCAACGATTTTCGTATTCAAATCAAGATCAAACTTGAATATTCCAGGAAATCCTCCCACTTAATGTATCTTATAAGGTGGTAAGACTTATAAAATATTTCATTACCTCGTTATAGTCTTCGTATCCACCGTTGCTACCCAAACCCGAGGATGGATTTGGCCTGACGCCACCATGAAACGCGCCACTTTTGGGGGCGCCATATTGAGGGGCAGGAGCGTGTCCATGAGTAGAACCACCGTTGGGGGCGCCGTATTGGGGGGCAGGGGCACCACCGTTGGGGGCACCATATTGCGGGGCAGGGGCACCACCGTTGGGGGGACCATATTGCGGAGCAGGGGCACCATATCGTGATGATAAGGCGCTGTCTGCTTGCTGAGGTTCTATTGGGGGTTCTGCCGAGGCAAGAACCGCAAATACCAATACTACTGCAAAGTGCTGCAACAAAATTTTTTATCTTATTAAATAAAGGGGATTGGTTTGAAATTATTATCTGTGTGGCTTTTTATCAGCTGTTTTATAGAAATTATTTAAAAAATGCCAACACAATATGTTTAGTAAACTGACCAATGTAGACACCATCTTTAAAAAAAACTTTCCTTTCCCTTTTAATAAATAATATCGAGACCTACAAGATCTCCCATGTATCGTTTTGACAGCAAAATTTGTGTAGAAAACTATCAAGTTAGTTATAGTAATTACAGTTTTTAGTAACTTTTGGTCTCCTTGCAAAATTAAACAAACTTAATCTTAAATGTTAAGAAAACCTACACAACAACGGTTTCTAGAATTTTCCAAAAAGATTTAATCTAAATCTTCGCAACCTATTCTTTCCTCTGACATAGATAGCCTCATGTAACGAGCTATGTGACATAAAAAGATTTTTGATTACGATTTTTATATTTACATGCGTTATGAAGTAAAAATATGATTTAAACAGTGCTTAACCCCTACTGCGTTGAAGTAATGGGAACTTACCCTCATGATGTTGAAGGTGTGTCTGATAGAAGATGGTTCTGTCTTCGGGGTTTTATACTCCTTGATCTCAACAGAGATGTTTGAATGTTATATAACAGTACTTGATCGTCATGATGCCGGCTACTTACAAGAGTCCTTTCATTCAACACATCTGCATTTACTCTTGGTTAACTCACGCTTGTGATTGGTTGCAAAGCTACATGAATGCAAACTCAATTTGCATGTTTATTGTGTTTTATTTTATTATAATACATTATATAGTTTCCTTTTCGGCATTTGATCAGCTGTAGCTTTGACTATTAATGCAACTATACATTCCACTCCCATGTTAAATTTGTATCCAGCTTTGTAACCAAAATCGTCATAGTTGATGTGAGCCACCGACAGATTGTGCTGGTCTAAATTACTGATTTCTATCGAATACACGATCAAACTAATGGAAAGACTTATTGTGAGTTATAGCAACTGTTCTAACCCATCAACTTCGCCAGCAACAAAACATAAGGTAGAAAATAGAGTTTTGGTCCCTAGCGCATTCTGTGACTGTCTCAAACAACTACGTTCTTTTTTAACAAACAATTTGTTACAGATGGTCCATATAGATGGGATTGTCTACTTCAGTATCCAACTGAAGTATGGCTGTAGCCAACGTTTTATTGAATGATCATCGTTAAATTAGCCACTTCGAGATTATGCTACGCTCTAAAACTATATTACCTCTCTTCGTTTTTATTCCAGGGATAGTTTATGGGATATTAAAGATGATATTGTTTACAATGAGTTTACTTGTCGGTTTGGTTCGGTGTCCTCTACATTATATATAGTAGTATGTTTTCTGTGACTGAAGTTAGTAGTTTACATCAGCACACGCAGTCGAAGGCTTAATTCAACAATCTTCATTGTTATTTTTAAACTGGTGCAACGCTACAACTAAAGAATAGAAATAGTATGTATAGTTCCATCAGTAGCATAACTCTCACTCATACAATGTGTTCAGTCTTCTCATTTTCATATATCTAAGAAATAACAAGAAAACATTAAACTGCCTCTGGAACCATTAGTTTGTCCTTGATCTGGTATTATCAGCTTACAATTTACTTCTATAATGATAGTAGTTAAAGATTGATGAATAACCAAAATTAATACTGTAAGAAATACAGGTATGTCAATTCATGGTGGTAATGTATTTAGATTTTCATATGATTCCTATGGCGTTTGTTGATAAAACATGTCCGCAATTGACCCTCCAACACCATAAAACTAACATTACCAAAAATGAACTTTGAAACAAAGAAACAACTCCTATTTTAAAGCTTTTTTGTATAATTTAGCTTAGTATTGAAGTATAACAAGTATAATGTATAATTATTACAAAACTAGTCTGATCACCAAATAAGAGCTCATGGTTATTCAGATAAAGAAGGTGAGTTCCTAGATTTATTTTCTTATACTTGCATATTTCGTTAAAGGTTTTTTAAATTGATATTAGACTCTAGAGAACTGTAAAGTAAAGTTATTTTTGTCATTTTATTTTTCTCTCATGTACTGTATTATGTTTTAACCTAAAGTTAAAACAGTCTAAAAGTTAAATTCGTGTTTGTAGATAACTGCCATAAGGGCCTGGAGACTGAAATCTAAATTTCAATTTCACGCTTATTGAGTGATTTATATCTTAGAGGCTATTTGTTTGATAGGCAATTCACCTATTGGGTTTGATGATGATTGGAGTGTCCTTTCGATATCGATCACTACTTACCATCTTTCTTTATGTATTTGCCGTCTGAGTCAACAGTGTAAGTGTAAATATATTATTACAAGTGTCATTAGACGTATATTTCTTTTTTTGATTTCTTTCACCTATTTGTTAGCTTACCAAAAAGACCTAACTTAACTAAATGAATTTTACGAATTGTTTTACAATCCATTCTAATGTCCTTTTGCAAGTTTCAAAACATGCTGCTTAATCTCTGACGTTTATACCATCAGTCAACAACGAACTCTATTAGTTGTGTATGTTTAGTGAACAAGTAGACAAAAAAAACATACAATATTTCTTGTCTAAGTGTAAAAAGACTTTTCTTTGTCTTCATCTACAGTTTACAAAGTCCTCCAGGGGACGAAATATTGTGTGTTTTGGTTTATTTTTTGTGTTCTGTGGCAAACCTGTACTTATTCTAAGGTGAGTTAGCTTGTATCCCCCTTTATTCAACAATCCAAAATCCTAGCCTAAAGCCTTTCCTTGAACAAAACAAACCTTAAAGACCTAACCTTTCGCTTTCCCTCTTCCTTGTTGTATTTTTTTGTTATCATCCTTATTCCTCAAATCCTTATATGCAAATCTCGATTTCCATCTTTCCATAGTGAAATTATTGAAGATTTTCATTTGCAGGGGTTCGAAAATGTTTCTTTTCAGAACTCGTGTTCATCATTGGACAAGTGGTGGTTTCATAGTCAGGAAGGATAAAGTGTCTTGGTCCCCAAATATTTATAAAATAATTACGGGGTAAATTCATGTCGTGAAAAAGAAAGCTGCTGTTGTTTACTTGTTTATACTTTTAATTTTATTTTATTTACATGGTAAATTTGGTTATTAAATTTAGTAAGTTCATTTATTTCATCCTATACCAAAAAAATTTAGTCAAATAGTACTTTTACCTGTCCCGTATAGCAGCAAACCTAAATACTCGTTGGATCCAAAATAATTATTTAAATGGGCAATAGTTTTGTTTATGTTTTAGTACAAATTTAGTCAGGCAAATTGAAAATCACTTAGTCATGAGATTGAAAAGGTGAGGATTTTCTCTAAAGGTGAGGAAAATACCCACTCAAAAGTACAACCAGTAAAATATAACGAACTAAACTAATTTCTCAAAAAAGATTTTTCAGTTACTAAATTACCTTTACTTACTTTCCTTACCATTCCCATTACCCACACTACTTATTACTCTTACGTCTTTTCTCACACATTCATCACTTGTATTCGAATAAAACCACAAAAGTTTTCAAAACAAGAAGGCACATAGGAGAAAAAGTATAAAAAAGACATACAGTAAATTGAAATTATTTATTAAAATTACAATCGAGAAACAATTAAGTTGTAACCCCACTATCATTAATAACTACTAAGTATATATCATGCTTATATCTTAAGTTCATTTTCAAAATCACTTTGTTTACATGTTGTGTTGCAAGTTTTCAATTAATTCAAAAAAGTTATACTATATTATGCATTTAAAACATATATTTTACTCATAGTGACTTATTATGAAAACATATATCTGAAACATTTTAATATATATCGTTTATGATGTATGAATGCATTGGCATACTGAAATTTTAACAATGACTTATTTAATAGCTAAAGTTTTATCAACAACTAAGCTATTGTTTTATAAAGCAACTCTGCTCCCGGACTTCTGGAGTAGAGCTTTGGGAAGAAAATATTAATTGGTCCGTAATAAAAAGTACAATGCTTGTAGCTTTGTAGACTTTAACAATAGAAAATAATTTTAAACTTTAAAACAGTTATTCAAAATAGTTTAATTAGTTACTTTTTAAAACCACTTGACTTTGGATACAATGCATTCCATTTTGTTAAGCTAATTAATTATAGAAATAAAACTAAATTAGTAGAACTTAGTGGCTAACGTGCCATTAACAGAGCGTACTACTACTGATTTCTAATTTCAGTTGTAGCCTTTAACTTTTTAACTTAGACAAACTGAAAGATTGATTTTATTGTAGACTAGCAGAACATTTATAACATTTGACCAATCCAAGTACCAAAAAGTAACAAAGAAATAATGTTTACATTAGCTCACTTTACGAATGTCTTATTCAACTATTCTGTAGTTTATTTATTTTAAATGACCGAAAATAAATTTTTTAAATAAATTTTAAATAGCCGAAATTTTTGACATAGGTAGGATGTATTCACAATTATCCAAAAGATAATTGTAAGACAAAGAACATGTTTATCCTGAGAAAATACTACTGATTATAAAACATCGATTTTACCTATCTGCCAAACCACAGTTTTTGAAAAGTAAATTATCAGAAACGCATTTTCTTAACATATACCCTTTAGTTAAAGGAAATGGTACTAGTAAGATCAAATATTAAACCTATCCTACATGAACATTTACATGGAATACGAACGTACTACCCTGAACTACCTAGGAAATGTCCTAGATAAGGCTGTAATGACAGCCTCCCCGTCTAGTTGTAGGATATCCTGGGATGGTATCCCGTCTGGTCCGCGGTGTAGTCCACCACCTGGGTCCTCCCATCAGGCAGGTCCACGTAGTACCTTCCTCTGGTGGAGTCTCCGGTCCTGGACTCCTGGTGGCCGAACCTCGTCCCATAGTCGGGGGCCGACACGTCGTACTGGAACTGGTAGTTAGCTGGCTCCTAGAGTCGTAAAAGAATTATAATGAAGATGAATAAAAATTGTTTACAGTAGAGCTTTTAGTAAAAATATCTCCGAGACACAGAAAGTCTTCGCCTGAAAGAGCCTTACAAGAGCTTTAGTGGTTGAGAAACTATCTTCTAGAGAGAGCCGGGTCTATTATGATTCCTACCACAACCACTCTCAATTTGTTTTCTTTCTTTTGACTAATTACCTTTGGATACTGATATGAGGTATATTGAACAGTTGTAACCAATTATTTCTTTAAAAAGAACATGTTAAATGAGCCACTCTCACTGGAGTGAGTATGTTCCAGTCTATCCATTTTCCCCCAAAGCTTTCGTTATTATTATTGTTGATGTTACACAAAATATATTATAGTCTACCTAATGAGTATTATTTGTATACGTATAACAAGTTACCCTTTCCATCTTACATCGTTGGTACTAAACAGAAAGTAATATACATCAGCGCTCTCATTTAATGGCACAATACAACTACTTTATTTAAAACTTGTTACAACTTCAATGCGGTAATGGAATATATAACTTTATTTATAGCTATTTCAGATTTTTCCAGTATTGACTGGGTTTGTGGGAGTTACTATAGTTCGGCCGCTTAGAAAGCGACCTCCTCCAGCATTGGTTTAGCATTAGCGCGCAGGTCGTTTTCTAAGCGGCCGAACTATATATGTGTGATTTTTTTAGGTGCCCCTACTTTCCATATGAGTAGAGGCTCAAATTCCAAGTTTTAAAAATATCTTGATCGGTTAAGTTTGCAACAATTCTTTAAATAGCCTAGCTAATTGTCACTGAGAACTTTTCTTTGGATACCTACAGAGTATTCGTCGTCGTACCCTCCGCTACTGAAGCTGTTAGGTCTGTGCGGATACTGGCCTGACCCTTGACCAATCGTCACTGATGGTCGCCCAGGAGGATGTCCAGGGCTGGAATATGAATAACCTTGTGGAGCTCCGCAGACAACCGCGACCAGGAGTAAAAGGGGGAGGATTGTCTGCAAAATATGTACAAAACTTATTTAACATTTACCAACAATGTGTAGTTTATACTACGACTTACAATACTTGTACCGTTCCCTGTGTCAATACATTAAAATATAATTGAAGACGAAGGACTATTTACAAACAAGCGGTTCAGTAGCAGTGTTGTAGCATATACATGTATTTTTTATGAATAAGTGATTTTTTAAATTTTAGCTAAGGATAACTGAAGATGCCACTATAACAAAAATATTTTTTTATATTATTTTCCAAAATATTTTATGTTAAATTTTAATTATTATAATTGCAAATTACTTAGATAAGTACTAATTATTTCATCATCCAAAAGGTTTAAAATTAAATAAATAGTAATAAAGATAAATCACTATCAGTGGTGTATTGATTTAAGTTTATTTCAAAATCTTAACTGCGTTTTAAATTGTCTTACAAAACTTTACTAGTCATAGATGGGTGGTTTTAATAGTTTTACTAGTTGAAGGACGTGTATATAAGGGTCAATGGACCTATAAGAATGGCCTTGACTGTGGTTGAAGGTCTTTTAGGTAATTTGTTGAGTTATTCGTTTGTAAACATGAGGCTACAATCATTGTTTTACCTTGTGAAGTGTTTTAATAATACTTATAATACTTATTAGTCCAACATTAACTCAATTTATTTGCACTCATTTTTTTACAAAAGTGGATTTAAATTAACGTAATTTTTATGAACTTATAAACAATACCCGTATTGATAATTTTTTCTGTATGAATTATTGTATTTTTTGTATTTTGTGTTTTATTGTCCCTGTGTACCTTGTTGTCAAAATTTAAAACCCTAGTAGCTGATTGGGCTAAATAAAATATTATATTTTAATTTTATTTGTAAGAGTTTTTCAGTGAAACTTTAAGTGCCTAACTCTAAAGAGAAATTTGCAAAATCATTAATACACGAGAAATTAGTTGAACAAAAAAGAAAAATTAAGGTTTGCGCAGTGATAATGTTTAACCAAGTGCTTACCTTTAAATCTGAGGTTCACTGGTTTATGTCCAGATCGAAATCGATTATCGAACCAAATGCCGTGTAATGCTATTTAACATAAGTTTGACTTTAGGTATTACAAGACAAACGTTTGAATCTTTTCTTAAAAAAACGTAAACAATTTCAATAACTTAGAAAACTATACGTTTACTAACATCGATGTTATCGCTTAACAGAACAAAAGTACAATGTCCTACCTTGCTCATGGTGTCCTGACTGACTAAGATGGAGTTTTCTGACCTGTATATATGGGAGTACCAACACTCCAGATTACCTCAGCCGTCATCGATGTCCACTTGATAATTGTGCAAGGAGTTTCTAACAACAGGGTTGCCAACCGTGATCTCAGCTCTTGTAATCCCGGCCATTTAGCATTGATTATAAATGCATCACGTCGAAACCTATTGGCTGGAATCGCCTATGTAGCAGTAGAAGGTACAATCATAGACAAAAAGAATTATTCTTTTTGTCTATGGTGCAATCTACCACGGAGGATGTTAGTCCCAAATAGCGATTGATCGGACATCAAGAGCAACATAAAGTACTACTATTAATGCGAGGGTTGCCATTGGTAATGGATAATTTTCAATTGTCAATTATCAATTATCAATCATTGATAGGAGGACGCCACCTAGGTGCGTATTTTAACCCAAATATGAGTGAAGGATGAGTGTAGAATGGTGTGAGATGATCTGTGTAGCTTTGTTTCTGACTATGATCAGCTGTTTCATTAGCCAGGATCATTTATTTAAAGCTGGCATGATTAAAAAACAAGGCTAAAAGTTAAATCTGACATAAAGGTTGACTGTTAGAATCCCTCTTATTCAGGTCTGGTGAGCAACATATTATCTATGGCAAATCTTGGTGGGATATGCCATATAAAGAAAAGGTCCAGTTAAAATAAAAATGTGGACGAATCATCTAGTTTGCCGTGATGGGAGGATTCTTTCAAAGTTCAATTGTAACAACATAACCTACTAACGACTTTTTTGTGTAAATGGCAACAATAAACTACGAGAAGATTTTCATCATATGTGTTCCAATTTAAAAGTAAATTGAAAATAACTGTAGTATATTGTTAGACCTGACATGACGCTGGCCGTCACATAGCCTCCCAAGCAAGGAGACGTCTATGTAAGTCGAAGGCTTAACTCCGTCGAGCAATAGGAAAATTCACATTCATCACTGCAAAGGAAATATTATTTCTCATGCCTTAAAAAATGTGTTAGCAATCAATCAATTGATATTTTACATTTATGTATTGATATGTTAGACGAACAATAAGTCTAATTCGTTTAGATCATGGAAACTTCTTGTGTTTAAAAAGTGCCCTTTTTATTTTCAAAATTTAATACAGTAGCAATAGTTTTTATTTGAAGCTAAACCAGAACTTGTAAACCAAACGCTGTGCAAAATTAATTTCATCCTATACTCTTATATGAGAAATGTTTGCTTGTATGTTTGTATGCTTGTAGGCTTGCACAAACATCTCGAAAACTGATTCGAATAAGATTTCCTTCAAATGATGTAAATAATTTTTCTGGCCTTAAAACGTGTGCAGTTAAAACTACCAAAAAAACGTAATTGCTTAAAAATAATGAAATTTTAAGTAATTTTTTTTTTACATCGGACACACAAGCTGCCAACTAACCTTGTTAGTTAAACGAAATAACAAAGAAAAAGTAAACAAAAATACTTGTAGCATGTCTTTATAACAAGCCATCCAGTAAACTAGCAAATTACAAAATACAGTACAAAGTAAAAAAACATCAGGTGTTACTATTGAGCAAAGATTACACTGAAGATTAATCGATATAAGAGACAATAGTTCCGATCAAGAATGATTATTTTACTTGACTCTCTTCTTCGAAAACTTAATCCCCGCAGTACTGAGACAATCTTAAACAAAATTTTATTTAGCAATGAAATAAATGTCACTTATATTATATATATGTTATATAGATTAGAATCTTAACAAAAGTGTTTAATCAGCTGTTTCCACTGAAACTTAAATAATGAAAGCAAAATTAGGTGTAAATGAAGTGAGTTTCCTTTATATTGCTTATACAATGGAAATAAACTACTCCGAGCCATGGCTCGGTCCCCAGGTACTTCTAAAGTGGTGTGTTGTGTGTGTGTAGAGTACGTATAGAGGTTTGCTTCACAGGTGAGCTACGTTACACCAAGCTGGGAATGTTATTGCTCCTTTGCTTCTCTTTCTGCAACACGCACAAAGTTCATGATAGAAAGATGCATTTATCAACTGAAGGGGTAGAGGCTTCGTTTATTTATTCAAATCTAGGTAGGTTAAAATATTTAAAACTCTGTTAAAAAACGCAATTTACCACGGTGCAGTAATCGTAAATATTTGTTAAGATAATTTTTTTAATAAAATTTTTAAAACCCTTTTTCCCTAAATAAATGGTATTGGTTTAAAACTGCTGCATTTTTTAATTAGATTAACTGGAATATATTAATTTAAATTGTACTCTACTATTTTTACATAAATACCAAGGTATCTTTTAAGTATTGAGGATTGTAAAATGGAAAATCTGTATATGCTACACAAAAGAATTTGGAAATTAATTATATTCTTGATTTTCTCTTTATTCTCACTCATAAAAATAATTTACTGGAAATTGGTACTATGTTTATGTGACACCCTGTACATAAGTATAACCCAAGGGAGTATGTTTAATCTATGGTATAACTAATAACCTCATACTAATATCCTCAGGCCCACATCGGCCTTCTGAATGTGGGAACACAGTAGCTAGAGACTAGCCGCAGCCGAGGTTTCTGTTGACTAATTTTCCTCAATTTACGAGTCTTCATCGCCTAATGGTTCTACTTACACTAATGTCTTAATCTCTTCAATGCAACAGAGGTGCAGTGATCGTCTTGCTGGTAGTGTACGGGAACATGTAGGAGTACTAAACAAGGCTAAATCGTGTATCTTCGTCCTATTTTTATCTAATAAAAGTATCGGTTATTTCCGTAAGTTTCTCTAACATTTAACGAGGTATTGTGTTTCTTCAATAGTTTTTATCTTGATTTTTCGTGGTTATTGTTGGTTCGTTTATCGTATGCGTATACGAGTACGTTAAACCTTCATTGTATCATTGATTATACACAGATTATGTGTATAGTTCAGCTTCTTCGCAACCCAAATAAAGATGAACCAATAAATGAATAAAACGATCACTAGGGTTCTGGAGGAACAGTTTTATTATTTATGGTATGAGTTTTAGTGGGTGGAGGTTTCACAAATGAACGGAACGTTCTCCTCCAGAAGAATATCTTTTTTTTTTTTGTTTTCTGGATAGCTTGAAGGGCTCTAAGCCACCAATCACAGCATGGCCTATTCTAATACATAAAATTGGGCTTACGGAATTAGGTATTATTGTAGAAAATTATTGTTTATTGGTGGGATTTGTTCCCGGACTTCCATAAATCAGGTCCTGTACTTTGAACACCAAAATTCAGTCATTCTAGTCACATTTGTTGTTATTGTACGGATGTCAAAAACGTTATACTGTATGACGTGTAGTATCATTGGTAGAAACAACATCAATGATATTTATTGATTGCACTTGGTATTTAACGGCTTGTTGTCAGTTGCCAAGTCACATCAATTATCGATTTGTATTTTTTACGTAATTGTCCAAACGTATAAAAGAACATAGCGAACCATTTTGTCTCGTCATGTTCAATTTTGTTTCAATTGTAATTCATAACATTTGTTCTATAAAGGCCTATACTACTATTACAAGCTGTTTTATTTGGATGAACTTTACATAGAGATAGTTTCTGCTATTCATGTCTGAATACATTCATTACGGCGAATATGAAGTCGATCAGTTTAGTATAATCACGACTTAGTCAAAAACTGCCTTGTATTAAAGTAGTTGAATGTATACGATTGTCATTTCAAAGAGATTTCTAATGATTACTTGATTTGTTGATGCATTGAGTGGAAATTTTAATATTCTCTTATCCAAAGTAACTTACGAAATGCGTTGTTTTAAACCGAATAAATTTATTCTATTTTCTGTTCAAAAGATGTCTGGGACATTGGATGTTAATAAGATCAAGGTCCTGTTTTGTAAACAGGTATAAGCTTGTAATATAAGTATTTACCTGATATTAATAAATGATAATACTAGTATTGTGTTTCATAAACATATAAGCTTGTAAAACAAGTTATAAGTTTACTGCTCCAAAATAAATTACCTGTTATAATACTAGTGTTTACACAAATGATGTTTCAAAAAACAATAGAGATAATATTATAAATCTAAACGTTAGAGTAATATACTATAAGCCTTTTTTGACACATATAATTTTTACTTGTGTCATATATCATCTATTTAGATGTAGTAAAATATAAAAATATTAATTATTTTATCACTATAGAGATGCAATCAAACGGATCAAGTTATGAAGAAGACATAGAAGATCAAGAAAATTTAAACAAAGGATTTCTTACTTTCAAATTCAAGAAACTTACGAGTTTAATGAAAGGTTTAGGTTAAGTATGAAAATTTCAATATTATTTTGAATACAATAGAGCCTGTGTTACAACACTCGACGAATAGGAACCATGCATTAACACTTAAAGAACAATTACAAATTGCACTTCATTGGATTGGTAGTGGTGTACCATTGCATAGCTGATATGCATGGCGTGTCGAAAGGGACAGTTTGTCACGTTATAAAAAATGTTGTAAATTCAATTAATGCACACTTATTAATTGACACTTTTTGCTGGTCAGAAGATTTAGTATAAACAATCAATGCATTCAGGGGGTTCTCGTTTTGACTGTAAACAACATTAACATGTTACTGGTGTAGATACAGAAAATACAAATTAAGCTATCTTTTAATGAACACCACAAAGACCTGTTGATGAACATTAATAAATGTCTCTTTATTGTAAGTTTAAAAATGAAGTTGCTGATGTAAGACAAGAATGGGTCGACAACTGCACAACAGCTCATCTGCGTCTCAAAGCAAGAATACATAATCATTTTGGAGCCCCTAAACTTAATTATATAAATTGCTGGTGGTTTATTGAAATTTTAAATAAATAAAGACAAAACAAGCCACCAATTATTGTATTAGGAGTTGCCGATGCTAAATTGTTATGGATACTTTTGAAGAGGTTAAGTAGAGTGGTTAGATACGCCACTGAAGTGCTATTATCGTTATAAAAACCAAGACATTTTAAAGGAACGTTTTGTCCGTAACCCTTGAAAGCAGCGATTCTTAAATTTATTTAGCTCTTTAAACTTATTACACTTAATGTGGTAATCGATTCGCATACTATCCGCAGTACTATACTGATAATTAGACCAATTCTAATACCAAGGCAAAAATGTGGTTCGGATTCCACTATAGTAGTGTGGTAGGTCCTTTAGTTGCTATTAGCTGTATGGCCTATTAATTAACAGTGGTGTACCAAACTACAAGATCATGCCACTCATCCTACGCTCATCTCCATTCATACTTTGCTTAAAACACCCACTTTTTATCGTCGCCATTTCAATGAAAAGTATTAAAAGCATATTACTGCTTATACAATATCTATAATCAAATAAATATTACGTCTACGATGTACTGTAACAGAACTGAACAGATCGGTAGTCTGTGGTAACAATCAAGCATTAACAAATCCATAAACTATTTCTATAGAGTATAGGAAGAAAATGATAGTCTAAATTTACACAAAATGTTTATTTATAAAAATACAAAAATACTATGTACAGACTGGGAGCCACAGTGGCTAGATGGTAAACATGGTGAAGCGTATCCGTTACAGCTGCGAGGCTGGTTCTAGTACTGGTATCCTCCGTTCCCAGAGGGTCCTCTGCCGTAGCCGCCGCCGTTGTTGGCGGTGCCCTCGTACGTGATCTTGGGATGGTAGCCGTCCTGGTCCGCGGTGTACTCTACCAGCTGGGTACGACCGTCAGGTAGCAGCACGTAGTATTTGCCCTGAGCTACGTCACCCTGCCTTGCCTCCTGGTGACCGAACTTGACGTTGTACTCCGGAGCGTCGACGTCGTAGCGGAACTCGTAGTTGGCTGGCTCCTAGAGAAGAACAAAACACGTTACGAGAATACCATAGGTAGATACGGTTGTTTACACACATCTCTATGATTTTATTCGAAAGCAAAAAGACTTAAGTGGAAAGAGCTCCCCAACAGAGGAGGAGCTCACAAAAAGACTACTCTTTTTTACTACATAATTTACCTAAAGGATTGCGTAAGGCCCAAATCATTTGATACATCATTATTAAAAATATTTTTTTTAAAATTGTCTCTTGAATGGAAATTGTTGGAAACAAAAATTTGCTATAGGTACAGGTGTTTACAGTATTTATGTTTTTTAAGTATTTTACTGGTTGAGAAAAATGATCGTATACTCTAAATAAAAGTGCCCAAAACCAAAAAATAACTACTGACTTTAAGATATTTCTTTTTGGATAAGATTAGAGCTATTCAAAGTGGAAACTACATCGTGTGTAATTTAAGGTTGTGAGGCGAGCGGAGAGGGATGGGTGTTGAATTTATGATATGATTGCGTTGTTATTATTTCAAATCAACCTAGGTTATATCTATTAAAATGCCAATAATCAAGGATTGGTCCATTTTTGAGCCCTAAAAAGCCACTGGCACCTGGCAAAATCGAACCGGCGATCTTCTGACCAGGCAAGCACTAACTATATCCATTTTCAAGCTAGCAGATGAAGGCAAGAAAATCGCCTGGTATGAAATTTATGTACATTGGTGTTTGGCACAATTTTAACTCATACTGAACACATTTGTACATCCCTACATGATTCTCTGTAAATTGACAAAAGGTGTATTGTATGTGTTTATTGAGTTCAATTATATAAGAGTTCGAGATGCATAATTTTAAGTTCAGGTTGTGCTTTAGTATGAAATAATAGACAAAAAGTTAACAAAATTAAAACCCTTAAGGGTATAAATATCTTCAGCATTTAAGAAAATTATCTTTAACGGAATTTTTAGGTTCAATGTTTCAAAAAGATTTCTCAAAACTATCATACTTACTGAAGGACCCTCATCATATCCTCCTTTGTTGCCTCCATAACCACCTCCGGGAGCGCCATATTGGCTAGAGGGCGCTCCATAAGAGCTAGAAGGAGCCCCGTATGAGCTAGATGGGCCTCCGAAAGAGCTAGAAGGAGCCCCGTATGAGCTAGATGGGCCTCCGAAAGAGCTAGAACCACCGAAGGAGTTAGGAGCTCCGTATTGGTTAGAAGGCCTGGAGGGCCTGGGAGCACCGTAGGAGCTGGAAGGTCTTCCACCGCCGAAGCCACCGGAGGGAGCACCATACTGGCTGGAGGGAGCGCCGAAATTGCTAGAGGGAGCGCCATATTGACTTGAGGGAGCGCCGTACTGACTGCTGGGTGAACCTCCGAATGACGCTTCTGTCTGGAGGCCAGGGGGGAGATACTGGTTGTTTACCGGAGGTTCTGGTCGAGCCAGCGTCACGGCTGTCAGGGAAGCTATCACCAGAAGTACCTGAAACACATGGACATAAATGTAAAAGAATTGTGAAAATATTATTAGTTGCGTCACAAATTTATTACACAAGTAAAGTTTTAAGTTCTACAAACCTCTTGTGTTCTAAAATTCTAAAGGTTTCTATCAAAATAGCTTTCATTTAATTTTTATCTAGGAATGTAAAGCAACTTTGGTGAGTACCTGCGAGGAAAAGAATGAGTTTTCAGCTCCTCACAGAACTGGCACTTTTATTCAAACAATGAGATAAAACATGTTTTTTTTTCGCTTTTTGTAAAACAAACCACGTAAAATAAGTCAGTAGTATTATTTCATTTCCACTCCATGAATATTTCACTACTTATAATACTACCAAACCAATTTCTACTGAGCAATATACCGAATCAGATGCTGTGAACAAATTGTTAAAATTTGAATACTAACAATATTCTTCATTGACAATTGTGGCTACTATAAACATTCTACCACTATAGGTTGCTAGAACTGCTAGTACTGGCTGTAAGCATGGATTCCTTAAACATTTCATTTTCATCATTAATAAATACCAGCTGAAAATAATGGAAGGTAAATTCTGCCCAGTTTAAATAGAGACGCCGTTTGATCCTTCTCAATATTTTTATCTACAAAAACTATTTTAGTTGCATATAACGACCTAACTATAGACAATAGTCTGGCCTCTGTTATAACCAATCCAATCTTAAATCCTGATGCAAAATATAAGAGGGATTTATCAAAAAAGAACCGAAGTGGAGCACGCTTTAAACAGGTGTCAAACTTTATAGTAAGAGAAGTATAATTCTAACACAATTTTAACTTGGGATTTGAATGCCTACTTAATTCCACGGCCCAAAACACAGGACTCGGCGCATGCCCCGGAAACTAGTAGGGGAGACCTGAACGCGCGGACGTACCGATGGCGCTGCCCTTGTCCCCAGTGTCCGCTTATCCAACCCTACTGATTGAGCTGTCGTGTGCACAGTGACCCTGCTGCTACAGGCGGAGCTCCCGGGCCGTTACAGATACGTAACGCACTTGAGTGTTGAACTGTTGTGTGACCCTGCTGCTACAGGCGGAGCTCCCGGGCCGTTACAGATACGTAACGCACTTGAGTGTTGAACTGTTGCGTCACACCTGCACCTCTGATCCGCCCCTTCTCTTCCTCTTCTCACATACGTCCGTTGCACAATGCTCACGGACGATTGTTTAGTGCGATTACTCACGCTGATGCGTCGCGCTTCCACGATTATATCAGTGAGCGGGTGGTCTAGTTCTGGCTGCCGGACGTTGGACGAAACAAGAATGATTTTGACAATCAGTCAACAGAAACTCCAGGACAAATTGTGTGATTAGAAGAAACTGAATAAAGCCTATGAAGAAATATATTTACTAAATTCCTAAATAGTTTCTAGCGTCGGACCCTTTATTACAAAAAGATGTGTTCGACAATAATATAGGGATTTACTTAGGGAGCCAAAGCAAGTATATAATATAAATTACCGAATTAGGTTCTTTTTACAAATAATAAAACGATCACTTAATTGTGTATATATATATATATATATATAGGCACTTTGCATCAATGAATGAATTTTCCGGAAGGATGACATAAAATAATAATTAACAGGATTACAAGCAAATGCACTGGATGCCTAGTGCAGTGTGTCGGGCATCAACAGACCCAGATGCCATTGTCTAATTGAATGATGCTATCTAACAAAAAGGTCGACGTTATATAGTAACAAGACCAGGGTTAGAATTTTTCCATTTAAAACGTAAAAAATTCCACTGGTGTAAAAAAAAAATATAAAATAATAATAAGGATTAGATGGGAGAGGAATCGCGTAAAATAATGTAGTCAACACTACTTAATATAGGCTTGCAACAAATTTGAGTGGAGTAAAACTGTACTATTTATACAAGTTTTGCCTTATAAAACTGAATTAAATATTGACAAAAAGCCTTAAACCATTGGATATTTAAGACCACACAATCACAACTTTTGGGCTTCAAATAAAGTTAATTTATTTGGGATCGTTAGTTAAATATATACTAAATGTCCCTGTTTCAAATGTAATGAGACGAAAAAATCCAAAACCACCCACCATTATTAATATAATAATATTAATTTAAATAAAATATCTTTGTAGTAGAGATTACGCAATATAGTTATATGTTATTTGGTTGTAATTTAAGAGCGATTTCCTACGATTTTGTTCAAGATTTTCACTTTTCATTTTACTATTTTCCTAACAAATTCTTGAGCATGCACTTGTAACCCTAAATGAATCAGGATTGTTCTTTATATAATGTATCTTATTTTGGTCTAGAGTCCATAATTCACCTCAATTATAACCACAAAGCTGTAAAACCACAATGAGGATCATAGAGTTATTGCAGTGGCATTGGCACTGTTCTTCAACAATACAATTAGTAGGCTTGGTTTTTATGAGGGGACTAGAATCCTCGTTTTGAAGTACACACTGCTTGACAGTACTATGGCTATCGTTTCTGTTGTACCACATTCTAACATAAATTGTCAACTGCACAATAAAGCTGATAAAAACTAACCGTTTTGTGTTGGTAAGGTGTGTCATGTTTTTCGTATGTAATGTGTAACAAATACATATGATGAAAATGAACTAACACCGACCTCCCTATTATGAGAAAGAAATACTTTTGATATAAATTATTGGTGCTAGTCTTGAGTATGAAAATCAATTATTCTTAATTATCTTCAACGGGAAATGTTTTTTTTTTTACCACGATGTGGCAAACATTTGTTTCTTCAGTATTCAGTAATTTGAAGACAAAATAATACTACTGACTTTAGAACATTTTTATTTCCTCTTTTTTGGTACTTTCTCGTTACATAAATAAGGATATTCTTGTTCTAAACATTTTATATTAAATTTAAAATGTTACAGATGATTCTGTATTTTTTTATTATTCTCCAGCAAACTACTACGATGAAGCACTATGTCAAAAGTTGTTATGCAATTCCTCAATACGGGGCCTGGGGGTTAATCAAAAGATGTTTACAAAAAGAAGCTTACGAGTTTACATTTAAACCCTTTCAAATTAGAAATGACAAACTTTACCTCATTCATCTAACAACATTAAGCTTGCGTTGTCTATTGAAAAATGGTGCAATCTTTAATTTCTTATTGAAGGCCTAGTTGAGTTTTTTTTTATTTTGTTATTATTCGAATGGTTCTGTGTCAAATGAATTCAATGCATAAAAACATGTCTAAAAGTATTGGATTATTAAGTCTAAGGTAAAGTAAAATATGGTGAATATTTGATTGTATATTAATTTTTAGACTTTTATTTAAATTACTATAAAATTTGGTCTAATTTAATATCATACAAACAAATCGTTAATTACAGTATCTTTTAGTTTATATTAATTTAATTTCCTCTGTAAATAAGTGCTTTTTATATCCATTTATTTTGCATGGATTTCATAACAGTGACAGGCGTGTTTATAGTATTTCAGCGTAGGCCTATATCTTCAATTAGGGAGGTTTAAAATCTGATAAGTGATTAATACAATCAGTAAATTGTGAAAAAATCAACGAACAGATTTAAAGAACATTAAAGTCAAAACCAATAAAAGTTACACGGTTCTAACCCCTCATTATAGCTATATACACCATTAGCATCGTGCTTAATATTGAATAATTGAATTAGATTCCAGATTTGCAATAAGAGCTGGATGGTTTTAATTTGTTAGATATGTTTATGAACGTTAGTCAATAAGTAAAGCACAATTTTTTTAGCAAAATAAAGATAACCCGTTGGAGGTATAAATGTATGATAAACAACTGAGTCTAGTTAATCATAGGGGCTACAAAACTTGTGCAATCAGTTAACCTGAAGAATAGTTAAGTCCTAAACTGTAAAAGCTACATTTTATCATCCTAAACTGCAACAAATAATGTCTTTTAATTATACGTAGTACCTTTTACTATTATCCTATAGTCAAAGGTAGTACCTAAATTGTTAAGAGCTATTTATAGAAATGTGCAGTGCAAAATTTAGGTCTAATAATATAAGCTCGTAAAATACAATGTATATGACAGGGCCGATAAAAATCCATAGCTTACATGTTTTACAACCCGAAATATCTGCCAGTAGCTATCCAAAATGTTTTCAGCATCTTGGTTAGTAAAAAGAGTACAAAATTGAATGCGTTGAATTGAATTATATTGAAGGAGGAACAACTCATCATCAAAATCTACTATCGTTTAGTGATGGTTCGTGAGCATGAAAAACCAAGTTTTTGTCTAATAAATTAAATATCATCAGAGGTGTATAGCATTGCAAGTTGCTCTTTATGTTGTTTTATACAAAATTAAATTACTTTAACTAATTGTATTAATATTTAATTCGGTACAAATAAAACTTAAAAGTCATGAGATTTAATAAGCCTTAATATATCACCATCCAATGCCTATTAATGCATCTTAATTAGTAAGTATACGTTTATTTTGTGTTCTGGATATAAAATATTGAGAAACTTATAAAACTCGAAGGTAAGCGATCAAGGTTTTAAAAAAATAGGTGGTAAAAATGCAATTAATGTAAAGAAGATTCAAGACAAGACCGATAAAAACTATAAATTTTTAACAACCCCAAAAATAACGTAAACGTATTTTAGGCAACGTAGTAAACAATTATTAAATGTTGATAAATTTAATTAAAACGATAGTAAAAATTCAAAATAGTATTTCTTTTGAAAATTCTTAATCCAAATCAACTAAATCTTATAGTTTTATAATAATTGATCCTACTACAGACAGTCCTACCTTGGCCATGTCGAGGGGTGGGTGTGCCTATGATGAACTGATAGCAAGAGGTCGCTTATATACAACTGACTGATAACAATTCCCTGCCTCCCCCGTGACGTCAGGGGGGACGGTACCTTCACTACCCCCTCCCTTGCCCCCCCCTGGCCCCCCAGAAGATGGGAAGCTCCAGTATTGTTACTGTTCCAAGGATCGTAGATTGCTCCGTTTATCTTCCATTCGTGTCACCATAATCATATCAAGGTTGTCGGGGATCCATACCGGTCTGAGACGTTGGTACCACAATCTGAGTCTGAAACGCTTATTGTGTATTGTATATTGTTTATTTCTAATAAATAAATTCATTTGCATTAACAATTCTAATTGTCCAAAGAATTTGGTGTCTGCATAGACAAATGTTATGCATTGGAATTGGAATGAGTATACTGTGTCTGGGTAGCTGAATGGTTATATTACTAGACTGAAAATCAGACGCTTTCAAGTTCGGTCCTTACAAAGGTGGGCTTTTATTGGTTCTTAACCGGGACCAGGTGTTTTATCATGTATAGCTAAGGACCGGCTAATCTTAGTCAGTAAGAAGGCTACAAAGTTATTCAATTCCACACTAAACCAGCATACTGATAAAGCGCATAATACCAAAAGTATAATGATAATGAGTATTGCTGTTGTTTTAAGAAAACCCAATTTGATAATAATAGTTTTAAATACCCAATCAAATCATGTACCTATTTACACAAATCTTGTTTGTTTGTTTACATAAAAAAATAAAAGTTGTGTAGGGAATGTGGACCCTAAGAATGAATGATAAGGTAATAAACAAATCGAGTTATAAAATTTCAACTAATTGTTTTCGTTGATGTAATTGTTTAGCATAACTGTATTTAAAGGTTTCTGTGCAAACATTACTGATGTTGACATGAATTATTGTTAAATCATTGACTACATATATCTAAAGGTAGGTATACATAGTAAATGGTTAAAGTAACGAACGATTGATGTAAATGTATATTGTTTTTAATAATAATAACTTTGTTTGATTCTTACTATGAAAATACAGTCAGCATACAACATCATCATACAGTCATCAGTATTCATCATACAGTATAAGTCTAATGGTGTCAAATTTGGATATTATTTAAAACAAACAAATTATTGCAATTACTCTTTATGTTTTCTTAAACCAAAATGAAAGTATATAAACAATTACCTAAAACTATTTTTATTTCGTCTTTCAATGTAAACTCTTTTCCCAACTTTAACTTTTTGATGATGTGAGATTCAATACACAAGGAATTAATCGTTATGTTATATGGCATCTATGTGAAAAGTGATGGTGCAAAAATATAGCCTTGTAACATTCCCAACTCCTTAACTGTTATGCTAATCCAAGTAGACAGTTCTTCTCAAACATTTTGTACTGAAAGCTTTTTTAATCTGTTGTTTTATCTCAAGTTGTCATGATGGCTAATGGAGTGGAAAGTCACAATTACTTAATTGAATTGTATGACGTCATTTAAACATTGTATTTACAATACTATGAGTTTTGATGTTAAGTGTTTCTTTTAACTGTGATCCGAATTTCAGGGCAACTTTTTATCGATGGATTCTTTTTTTACCAGCTAATATAAATATAATTTTATATAGCATTTCAGTCTACAAAATAACTATATTCAAACTGGAAAACGTGCATGAGCCGTTGTATTTAAATATAAATTGAAACCAAAAACATAAGCAACAAATTATAAGTATTGAGTTATTTGAAATTGATCATTCTAGTTTAAAATTGTCCAACTTTTCATGGAAAACTACTGTACAATAAAATCGATTCTATTAAAAATCATGTTGAGATCCATACGGTACGTCTCACAGCCTGTCTGTATTTTCACGTAGCCTATCTATATTATACAGGTGGTTTTGAAATTTACAATTAGTACTTTACTCATTAAGTATAACATGAGTGAACAAGTGCCAGTTCACATATAAATTTAAATTTAAGAACAAATTGTTTTAATTATAAGGGCGTGTGCTTATTCTATTGCATAGCATGTAAAAGAAAACACTGTTGATTTAACTAATTTTATTTATGCAAGTAAACCTTATTCATTCTACACATATTACAAACAAGCCAATTTTTTTGTACAAAACATTATAAAACCTAGCATTATATTCCTTGTATATGTACATCTGTCTTTGTAACCCGTTGAATGGAATCTGAAAGCAGTTAACGTGTTTATTGCGCAATTTAAAACTTGTTATCCAAAATAATACAACTCCTCTCATGACATGCTTCCAGTAGTTCCAATTTCAGAGGTGATTTATTTCTTTCACAATCACGTCGCAAGCTTCATTATATTTTCAGCTGTTTCCCAACCAGAATAAATCACTTTAATCGAATGAAGATGAACCGATCCACCAGAAGATGCCTGGGTGAAGCTAGTTGTCAGTTTGGAATACTGTTTAATATTATTCTATCGCTATTTTGTTGGTTTTATTTGTGGATGGTCTACATGAAGTTGAAGAGTACGTATTTGTAATGCAAAGGCGAGTGGAGAATGAGGATTGCACAAATTATATGATCTCTTTGTTACTGATTAAAATCAGCTGGTCTAGCCAAGACCTTTTATTAAAAGCCCTACGATCAACAACTTAGACTACTGTAGTTTCCATCCATCAAAAAGCTAAATACTTTTCCCAGGATCACAGACGAACTTCTGATTGCTGGTGACTGTATAGGAGAGTTCCAGTTGGAGACGATCCTCAAATTTAGAGAAACTTCTCCTTACTTGAGGTATCAAAATTATCAGGATTTAGGTGAACTCACAACCTACTATAGTCACCTTGTCACTGCATTGTCACATTATTAGTCTTCACTGGATTAGAACCTTGTGGCAGTACAGTTCAGTTCTCTAACTACTGGACCAGCGCAACAATGTAATGTGTACTAGATAACACTAGTTAGGTGTGCGACTGTGTAGCAGTGGGTGGTAGTTAAACAAACAAGTGTCTCAGTCAGTGTGTTACACGTTATACTTGTGGGGACTTGCTAGTGCAATTAGCAGAACATCTGGGGTCTGCAGATCAATTAGGCGGGGTCTCAGAGTTACTAAATACCTCACATTGTTTGTCGATGTCCACCAACCCACCAACTCATTACGTTAACGGAGCTTTAATTGTGAGAAGTTGGTAATACGATTAAATGTCTACTCAGAGAAAGAGCGATAAGACATAGTATACTGTCTGTACCTCTTACAAAAGATAGTTTCAGAATATATTAAACAATCATTAGAAATGTGTTACTTTTAAGGAACAACTAAAGACAATTTTGAGGTTATGTATTGTCCTGTAAAGTTTGTGTGCTTTAATATTTGCTAATATTTAATGTTGTGTTTCAAACTTTACATACATTCTGACCAAATACACCCATCTTTGTAAACTGCTTTTAAATTTTACTAACATGGACATTATATAATGTGTTTAGTCTGACTATTATTTCTTCTAACCTTAGGTAAGGGTAATCCAGGAATATCGTAATTACAATGAATATATGTTCTTCAATTCACAAAATTGTAAGAACTTCAAACTACTGAATGATTCTATGTTCTGTTGGATTGAAAACTACTATAAGATTAACCCAGCACAAAAGTTTATCAACTGAAAATCAACCGAGTTGCAATTTTGAAATTCTAATTGTTACAAGATCAAATTAGAATAAGAAAGTAAAATCGGAGGAATAAAATCGTTTGGGAAACACAGATTTAAATATCGTAGCAGGCCGTAAATTGAGCGAATCTGAATTTCAGATCGTACGATGTTGTGTCGTGAGCCGAACCAGAGCAATGTCCTTACACTCGAAATACGACGTTAAGCCAAGCACTGCATTCCGTTCATTACAGAGGGAAGTGAGGAAACGATTTCGCAACACTTCTTATTATTTAAGAGATTATTGTGGTGTTTACCCACAGGGTTGATAAAAGAAACAGTTTTCATGACGTTTTGGGATCTGGAATTCGATGCCGTTCGCAAGTGAGCAAAGTACCTAAAGTATAACAAGATTAGCACAGAAATCGGGATAAAACCCACACAGGGGACTTTATAGTAGTCTACAAAAATAAATTACTATCAAGCTAAGAATCTTCTACGCGAACTTTTTTTGTTTGATAACACCAGTTATTGCTACTTCGGATTTTAGTAGAGTAGTGCAGCACTTTCTTACACGTAGTCCTTCTATTGGCTTTTAGATACATCTCATCTATATGGACCAAGTGTATAAAATGTTTTATCTTGAACTAACGGAGCTTAATGATATTCTATTACAGAGTGAGTGACAATAGTTACATTTTCCTTTTAATTTTAGTACTATAATAGGGGGATATGATTTTTAAATATTATTGGTTAATAGGACCTCTCAGTTTGATGTTATTAGTGTTTTGTTATTGCACGTATAAACTCACTTTGAACAAGAATCAAAATAAAATCTCGAAAATACTGGCAACCATACGAAAGTAAGTAACTCAAGCCAAGTATGAACGGAGATGAGTGTAGGATGAGCGGCGCGATCTTGTAGTCTTGTTAGTGACTAAGGCCGACATATTCTTCAGAAACAGCTGTCAATTAATAGCCCAAGGACAACAAAGGGTCCTACAGTTTATAGTGGAATCCGAATCACATTTTTGCCTTAAACGAATTGGTCTAGTTACCAGGATACTAATGCGAATAGTCATATTAGTCACTAGTGCGGGCGTTAATCCACACCAGGGAGTATCGCATCTACAGTGCATGCCTATAAATATCCACAATTCATGACCTTAGTCAGCTACTAAGGTCATGAATTGTGGATATTTATAGGATTACAGGACGACGCCCTCGTTCCAGTCAAAAAACCTATATATGCCGATGTAACGTAACTATTGCAAGGAGAAGACCGTGGTACTTGTTCGGACGACAATTCCCATTGTATAACATCGCTGTCAGATGGTCGCGATCGCTAGTGAATCAGATGTTTTCGGCGGTGAAAGTAAGCATAAACTTGATCGGCAACACGTTGCGGTCTGTTTCTT